TCTGAAGTGGATGAGAAGAGATATATAGCAAGTAATCTCTATAAATAATCTTAACTTTTAATTTTTACGCTAAATTTCTATTTAAAATTCACTTTTATAGAAGGTAATATTTGGTCATGGACTATTATTGGCGGATGGTCCATATAGTTGGGATTATACAAAAATAATCAATAGTTGGGATTATTGTTAGGGAACCGGCAATAGTTGGGATTATTATTTTCAATTTTTCCTTTGTTAAAAGAGAAAAGAAATCTCCTGTAGTATGGATGTGAGAACAAATATACTCTTATTTTATTTTTAGTAACAAAAATATTCTTGAAATATATGTTGAAATGCATATATTATATCCCTCATGTTCTTATAAAGAAGCAAATTTATCTTTGTATTGACTTTAAATAGATAAAATAAATAGATAAAAGTGCAAATTTACCCCTCATGTTCTTATAAAGAAGCAAATTTACCTATATATTGACTTTAAATATATAAAAATAAATAGATAAAAGTGCAAATTTACCTTTATATTGACTTTAAATAGATAAAATAAATTTCAAAAAACACAAAAAAAAAAAAACAAATTATAAATTCAAATTTTAAAAATAAAGATTTATTTTTATTTATGTTAAAATATCAACTCTTTAATTTTAAATTGCAAAATTAATATTTATCCATTGTAAATAAGCACTTCAATTTCATTAATTTTAATTTTAGTCTTGTTGCGAAGCTTTAAACACGTTACATTTTTTTATTTTGTTTAACCTTAATAAACAAAATTCACTATTTTTAAATCTTGGACTATTTATTATCATACAAAATATATAATTTTTAAAGTGCAAAGAACGCAAAAAATTTAATATTTTTTTTACAATGCGATAGTAAAGTAATGTTTGACAATATTAAATTGTAAAGTTTATATATATAAATGTTTTACAAAGTAGTAATTTTTTTAAATTTATATAGTAATGTTTTGAAATAATACTTATACTAACAATATTAAATTGTGATATGCAAACAATAAAGGGGAAAATTGAACAAAAGTACATTTTTAATATTTTTACATTTTTATTTTTGAAACGATCAAAAAAAAATTAAATTTGAATTTATAATTTATTTTTGCTATTTTTTGAATTTATTTTATCAATTTAAAGTGGGTAAATTTGCTCTTTTATAAGAATATGAGGAGTATTTTTGCACCTTTTAAAATTACAAGGGTATATATGCACTTCTACATATACTTAATGAGTATATTTGTTCCGAAAAATAGAACATGTTAGAAATCGACTGTAGCTCATTGTTGGAAATGATTCTTTTTTAATGATTGAGAAGATGTTAGAAGTTTTAATTTATACGTAGTAATATTTTTTTATTTCGTTTTCTATATTTTATTTCCTTTCACATTTTATTTAAAGAGTAAATAAAAGAAGATGATATGGACAACTACTTTCATTTTCTAATTACATAATATAGAACTTGATCAAATAAAATAATAAACATAAGAAACCAAATTAAATCGAACTAAATTGAACCTAATAATTTTTACTTTGGTAAACCGATCACTAAACCAAACCCAACCGAAACCGAATCAAAACCAAACCGAAACACAAATGATTTTAGTTTGGTACACATTCTCCCAAACCGAATAAACCGAAACCGAAGAAAACCGAACCGTAAACCGAATTGCCCACCCCTAGAGAAGAGGAGTGACAAACCTGGTCGACAGAGATGGTGGTGATGGACCGGTGATGATGGCAACAGCTTGGGTGGAGGCGAGCAGTGGCAATGAGCTACGGCCGATGATGAGACGAAAAGGTGATGGTGGATGGGTGATTTCGTGAGGCGGAAGGTGAGATGGGGTTGCTGTAAGGGTATTTTACTCTATTGATTCCAATCCGGCCTATTTTTTGTCCAATTTAAAATCGAGTCCTGTATTTGTCCATTCAAAACTCATTGGTACCATTATTTGCTAAAAGCACATATAGTTGCTAAACAAGGCCAAAATTAGTGAAAAGAGGAAAATGAAGATCACACTTGGGACAATTTCATGCCTCCAAAAAAGAATGAATGGTGTAAGAAACATGAAGTCATCATGAATACACGCCTCTTACCTCTTCAGGATCGTCTACAACACATGCCTAGGCACCAGGCTGCTGAATGGAACCCCTCTAGGCGCTCAAAATGCCATCCATGCGGTGAATGAATCACCTAGGCCCCATAGCCTCAGGCCAAGGCGGTTAGGCTGCCGCTACATGACATTTTAGATTATTATCTTTGGAATCCTATAGTCTAACCTGCTCAACTCTGGCCTCGTTGTTTTCATGTCTGTTATATCTTGATGGCAGTGGAGTTGCTAAGCTTGGAATGATAAAATAGTTGGTATACTATTACAATTGCATATCTTTGGTTTCTTCCTTTTCACACGACAGAATAACAGATTGACAATCCTGTTTTCCATATTTAATTTCTATACACCGCCTGGGAGTAGGCATGGCCTCGGGCCGGTTCGGGCCCGGCCGGTTCACGGTTCAGATATGGGAGGCCCAGAACCGGCCCGGGTAACCCCCGGGTCTGGTTCGGGCCGGGCCGGGCCGGGCCTCGGTCCAATCTTTTTTTTTTGGCTTCTCCTAATTAACTCCCAACCCTCCCCCCTCACCCCCAAACCACCTCAAATGGCCAAAAATACCCAGCACAACCCAAAAACTTAAAAAAAAATTCAAAAAAAAAATTAAATTTGGCCCGGACCGGGCCCGGACCGGCCGGGCCGGTTCACCATTCCTAGGGCCCGAACCGTATGACTAGCGGGTAGGGTCGACCCGAACCGCCCTATGGCCCGGTTCCCGGGCCAGGCCGGTTCAAACAGTGTCCGGTCCGGGCCGGTTCCGGGGCGGGCCGCCCGGCCCGAGTCCATCCCTACCTGGGAGCATAGACTTGGTTGGTCTCCACCTCGCCGGACTAGCACCTAACAAAAATTAGAGGTCTGCTCTTGTCACTTGCTGACCTCTTAGGCTTTGTTTGCAACCACTTCTGATTAAATAAAAGCACTTTTGGGAAAAAAGTTATTAGTAGTAAAAGTTGGTAGTGTTTGGTAAAATAAGTGCTTTTTGTGTAATAGAAAAAGTAAAAAGTAGATTCTACACGGAAGCCGAGAAAGTAAAAGTTGGTAGTATTTAGTAAAATAAGTGCTTTTTTCTTAAAAAAAAGTTAAAAGTACTTTTTTAATGGGTTGCAAACAGACCCTTAAGCACAGTGAACAACTTCAGCAGAAGTGAATATGTTCTTCATCACTATATACTGCGCAATATGTTCCTTTAGAACTCCCTCCAACTTATATGCCTGCGGGCTAGGAGTTTACTTTGATGCAAGACATTTTCCCGTCATTGTGGTGCTCCTTTCAGTCCTTCAATTGTGGAGCTGTTGGATATGCTGGGTGTCTAATGAGGTGTCTACGAGTGTGTCAGGATAGGCTCATTATTTTGGGATGCTGGATGCAAACCTAGAAAATAGTCGGATCTCACTACTGCTACTTTAAATAGAGATCACTGAAGTAAACTGTCACTATCTTCCAATCTGCACATTATCTTTCCTAAACTGGATTCTTGTTCAAGACTATTTTGCATGTTGAGTTGAAAATCGAATAATTACAAGCTTAAACCTATAAGGTATTACAAGCACTATCAGTGGCGGACCCAGAAAAATAGAGTCACGGGGTCCCTACTCTAATGTTACTCTAGTTAATATAAAATTAAAAGAATAACATAATAAAAAATTGCAGCATTTTAAAAGAGAAATAACGTGATAAACAAAATGTAGCATCTGAAAACTCTATTTCCCAGAAATGGTCACCTCCAACTTCCCACTTATTCTCTAAAAAAATAACATGGTAAAGAAATAAGAGCATATTTGGCAATACTTTTTTCAACCATTTATGTTCATCAAACTAACTTGAAAAAAATCTACGTCTTTTGCACTCAATTATCTTAAAAAGGAAATCATGATCCCGAGGGTGAAACAACCCTTCTGAAGGTAACTGTGGCGTACCTCGTCTTGAACATTAGGACGAAAATCAACAATATTTCCCCCTCAATCTATGATGAGCTTCCAAAGATTCAAAATCAACATGTTATTTATGTAGGTTATATGCCAAATTACTATGACTTTCTGCAATTACTTGATTCAATTCTTCATTTACTAATGGCGAATCATTTGAATTAACATCTGAACTACACATGGTACTCCAAATTCTTTTAAATCTGGGTACACTATCGAAACATATATTCATTCTAAATTTTAAAATATTGGATAAAAACATTCCTAAGTACACAAAAACAAAAGAAAAATCTCTAAATAGGACTAAAATATGGATAAAGTTAAAAAATAGGACTATAAATGTTTTAATGCAAAAGTAGGAATCATTCACTCTTATTTTGGGAAGCTTTAATCAATTTATTCTTTTAATAGTGTTGAATAAGTCTTATTTGGGAAATATAACATATTTAGTCATATTTTTGAACTGTGTATATGTTTTAGTCCTATATTGAATAATTTCTATTCAATCTTAATTCAAAAAAAGTTTACTAACCAAACCCCAAAAATGAAGTGTGTAAAGGATAAACAATAAAATATGGGAATTGAAAAACCAATAAAAGTTAAAAATGAAATATGGAAAGTTGAAAAACAAAAAATGGTTAAGGGGAGTCGAACCCTAAACCTCATCAAGAAGAAACGCTTATCTTTAACCTGTACTCCCGTTCCACTGCACAAGCCTTTTGGTTCTAGTGTAGCTTTCATTAGTTATATACATTGATTAATTAATTTTATGTGAAATAAATATAATATATATAGGTATTTTTTTGGAGGTGCACGGGTCCCGGGACCCTGTGGGACCCTTGGTGGGTCCGCCACTGAGCACTATAGGTAAAATTAACCACTTCAAAGCAAAAGCTATACTAGATACACTAATAAACTTTCATTCTAAACTTATATTTATATTAAGCCCCATAGCATTAGCAATAAACTCTAAAATAAGCGCTAACATAAACAGTCGAGCCTTGAAGTAAAAGTGGAAGTGATTATCATTCCCCACATGTGTCAAAAAACATTGATGCAAGTTTTCACTTTTCACTATTTTTTAGGGGAATGAGAATCAATACTAAGGGACCAGTAGATATAGAACTATAAACTACAAGATCACGGTTGCTTGGAGGTTGAAAATAAAAGAAAACAAGACTCAGAGCCAGTTTGGCTGGGGGATTTCGCAAGAGAGGGAAGGGGAGGGTTATATTTAGATTTAAAATAATTTTTACATATAGAAAATTGAAATAACGTGAAGACAAAATAATATATAAAAATACATGGTTTAACTAATTATATAGTTATTCGTAGTCTAAAACTAACGAATTCAGATAAATCAATAAAGAAAAAAATCAATCCTCCGCTCCCCTCTGTTCCAAAATCCCCCAATCATACTGGACCTAAAAGTACATGCAAACACACCACTCAGGCTCCTATAGCGGCAGCAGCATCGTCGTCATGGATAAAAGTAAAGGTTAACCAAGCATTCATCATAATCAACATATAAAGATATATACAGAAGGGAGGATGTGCTCAATTTGTTGAAGTACCATTGGAAGTGAAGGCCTTTTCAAATTTGTTTCTGGAATCTTCGAAATGCATTTTAGTAGTAGCACAAATCAAAATGCAGAAATCAACCATTCAGGCTAAGCAGAAAACCCCTAGAGTGTCTCTATAAAAACATGGGATCCAGAGTTATGGGTTAGCATAAAAACACAAGCTTCTTCCATTCCAAGTAGCTCATCAATCCACATTGAGTGAAAGTTTCATCAGATTCAATAGAAAAACATTAACTGCGGCACAATCTTATTCTTAATATCACAGACGTACAGAAGTCTCTGTCCAATTTGACTAGATAGGAAGCGTGAGAGAGAGAGAGAAGGGAAAGAAGCTTAGAGAGATAGCGATTTCTTGTACTTAGCTACCTCTCCTTCATTGGGGAAAAAGCCCATGAGTCTTCCTGCAGAGTTCTGGTAAGCGTACATAAACCCTCCCATCAGCCCAATCAGTCCTCCCGTCACCATTGATGGGCCCCTTATCCCCGGCTTTATGCCTGAGGAATAACAATCCCAATATCAAGGGGATGTTGAAATTAATAGTCCCAGCACTGTCATGAACCTTAGAAAAATCGAATAGAAATCATGGGGATGTACCTGAGAGATAGCCGACGGTGACAGAGACACCGGTGATGGTGGTGAGCCTGAGGTAATCGAGCGTGTTGAAATTAGAAACCACGTTTGTGAAGGGTGGATTCCGATCTATCACTGGATATTCAGGCTTCACAGAAGCAGTAATGTCCGTATTCATCCTCCCCGTCAACAGTGACACCCTACTCAGATCGGCTTTGTTCCTCTTTCTGGTTTCTATATTCCGGGTTCCTAATATTTAGTGGGCTGGTGTGGAGTGTATAGAACTTGCCCCAGTAGAGGTTTATACTTTTGTTTACACTTCAAATTCTTGCACAATGAACTTTATTTTGTTTATCTAATCTAAATTATTAGATAAAAGATAAAGTTGTTTGTAGAAAAGTCTAATTAAAACTTGTTACAACCCTTTCAAATAAAACTTGTTACAACATTGATTTTTGTAACAATGAGGGTACAAGCTAATGTTTGTGAACAAAGTTCAATATTTCATGTCATAGGGCTTTCCCCAATCTTAATGTATAGTGGGATGCCTTAAAATAAAGAACAATTCTAAAGGTGTACACTACTTTTGTGTACACACTTTTACACATGTCTGTGTAGGTTGTTTTTGTCTATACATACAAAACGTATTTTGTCTGTACCTTTTATCTTTTCTACATAAAAGTGTGTACACAAAAAAATGTGTACCCCAAGTCCAACTCTAAAATAAATCTATTTAGAGTGTCATAATATCCCCCGTTGTCACAAAATTATACTCCCCCCGTCCCCCTAAGTTTGTCTCGTTTTACCTTTTTCGTCCGTCCCACTAAGTTTGTCCCATACCATATTTGGTAACATTTGAGTGGTTAGAATCCATTCTTACTTTATTTACACTTTATCAATTCAATACCAACCACACAATTCCACTTTTTCTTAAAAACCACACCATACCCCTCCGTCCCAAACTTAGGGTGACGGAGGGAGTAATTATTTACTCGTAATTAATTAAGATTCATGTTTCTATGTTGTAAGACCCGAACCGGACCGGCCGGTTCGACCCGGAACCCGGTCAACCGGCCATCTGTCCGGTCCGGTTGAACATTGAACCGCAAATGTGGTCAAAACCGGTATTAACCGTTGTCCCACGTGAACCCGGGATGACCCGAACCATTTGTAACTCGGAAAATTTGAAAAAATCGGAAAACCGGTCGCCCACAAGATTCGAACTCACGCGGGTTGCTTTACATGTGGAGATGCTAAGCAACATGCTACAATAGGCATGTGTTCCAAACGGTTGTTGAGCGTTTCTTATACCTATCAGCCTGGGATTATTTATTAACTCTTAATTCATTAGTTTATTAAATTAATTTATAATAAAAATACTAATATATAATTAAATACACATCAATACTATTATTATACTTTCCAATTATTAAATAGTCTTTTAATTTTTTTAAATTTATAATAGGTATTCTGATTGTATTTATTATCCATCTAAATCCTAATGTTTTTTTAATTTTGTTAAAATCAATATACTTAAATACTATATATAATGTTTTTTACATTGCATATATTGTATTATCATTATCATATTATTATGAGGGAGTATAATTTTTCTATTTAGGAATTTAAGCTTTTATATAATTAATTAATTATATGTATTGTTGATGACCGGGTTTTCCCGGCGTTGACCGGGTTGACCCGTCGGGTCCGGGTTGACCCGTGACCCAGTGACGCGGCCGGGTCGCTCACCGGTCCGGTTTTTACAACATAGTTCATTCTTAGAAAATTTTAATAGTCCAATTAAGAACCTTTTTTCGTAGCATCTATTTTGACATATCAACTTTTTCAATCAACTTTTTATTGAATATATAACTTTTGATTTCACATTTTTAATTGGGTGATAATCAAAATAAATAAATAAACTTATTTTTGGATGATTATTTTAGCTATTTTCTTCTAATCTTTTATCAATTTTATCAAGTATTACCCCTGTTCTGATATGATGGTCATGTATTTCCTATTTCGAGTGTTCTCAAATAATAGTCATGTTTCCCTTTTTTATAAAGAAGTTAAAGTTGATTATCATTTATGCCTCTCCTTTTTATGAGTGGTAATAAAAGTAAAAGAGTGAAGAGTATGAAAAAAAATCACAAAGCATATTCAACTTCTCCGGTGAGACTTTCAACAATCTTGCAAATTGATCCAATTTGGTCAATTTAATCAAATTGTTAGGCATTTGTTGATTGTTCGGGTGATTAGAAGATGCACATGATTCAATGGAGGAAGGTAGAAAGGTCATCGGTCATTGTTCTAAACTCGTAACCAGAATAGAAAAGTAAAGTGCCTCAGATGTGCAGATAAGTTCTTTTGCATTTTCAAACATGAATTTGTTTTCATAAAAATAAATAAAGATTTGATGATGGGCCAATGACGGATTGAACCCTTGACGGCTTGACTACGCCCATGTCACCGGTTGATAATGAGGGAGTATTTGAACATTTGATATTGAGTATACAAGCACAATCTTCCTATGTGCTTGAATACATATAACAATTCATTTGGAAAAGGACAAACTTTTATGTCAAAATGCTTTTTATTGAATTGGGCATGGACCCATGAGATTAACACGGTTAGACCATTTGCAATCTAGGGATGAAAAGGATGGATTTGATCTACTCACCCCAAAATTGTTGGGTGTGTTTCGAAAAACAAAGAAAATTAATAAATCAATTAATAAAATGACAAAAGAAAACAGAAATGAGATGGAGCAGAAATTTGTCAAAGCTCGAGCTACGCACGATGTCCTTAAAACGTATTTGTTGCCTCCCACGGTGCTAGGAGCGTTGCAACAATAGTTTCCCAGGATACGATGACAACGAACTAATGTTTGAGCACACAAACAAGAGTTCCAACGAACGAGAACAAAAGCTGAACACAAAGGGAATTTTCGGAATGCTGGAGGTGTATTTGAGCTAGAAAACACGTGAAGTTCGTATTGTGTGTTGTGTATTGTTGCAAATCACCTGCAGCCATTTATAGGGAAGATTTGTTGTGTGTTTAATGGAGGTTTAATGGATATGAACGTTGGTAATCAATGTCCAGCACGTTGGCATTGATTCTAGTCCAAAAAACCGTCCATTTATTGCAAAGGAACGTTGGGCATTTATGGAGTTGTAACGTCCCAGCAGTGGGCTACAGCAGACGTCTCAGCAGCAGGCTGCTGCGGACTGTCCTGCCGGCAGCAGGCTGCTGCCGACTATCCTGCCGGCAGTGGGCTGCTAGAGCAGCCGGCTGCTACCCCCATTTCAACGGGCAAACTTCGAAAATCGATATTTCATTCACCCGTTATCCGTTTTGAGTGTACCACGTATCGAATTGTAGCCCTTAACAAGGACAATCCGAAACCACTTTGACCCGACCCGAATCGGAAGTGGACCCCACTCAAAAATTGCCCCAAAATGACCATTTAATGCAATGTACTAACACATTTTCCAACAATCCCCCACATGAATGAAAATTGATTTTCGAGACTTAAAAATGACACGAAGATAGGAGGACATGTTGTGTTCACCGGATGATCCTTGCATACGGAGAGGTAGGTTTAATCCTTTGAACCTTCCGCTGTAAAGACTCGTTTATTTACTGGATGTTTAGTAGACTCGATGTCCTTGAACTATACTGCCGTCGTGTAAACATTGACTTATCTTTACACAAGAACCTTCCAACTTTGTTCCGTTCTCATGGGTGTGCCCGTTTTGGCCATGGGTCACCGTCCTGGTTCTGCAAGAGTTTCTAAAGAACTGAGCCTTTACAGTTCTCCTTTGAAGCGGCCCTCTTCTCTCTCACATAGGTGATTCTTTCACGAGTATCCCGCATACTCTTCCAATGTTATCGAGTAGATCAACATTTTAGAATCATTAAAGCAAACATTTTTGCTAATCTCGTGCGGGAGTCACTGTTTCAACGAGGAGTGGGTAGGAGTCCGGGACCCCCATAGTGACTATCCTTCGCTCTATAATTTAGTTGTCCCATTTGAACCTAGGACCAACTAGGTTGGGTATCCACTATAGAACTTTTCAATTCACGGGCTTTAATCCCATTCCTCGTGACAACTTCTCCAACAATTCTCTATACAATGCCTTGGTTAGCGGATCCGCTATGTTATCCTTTGACTTCACGTAGTCAACAGTGATAACACCCGTTGTGAGAAGTTGTTTAATGGTATTATGTCTACGACAGACGTGTCTAGACTTACCATTATAGAGATTGCTCTGTGCCATTCCAATTGCCGCTTGACAATCGCAATGTATGCATATTGGAGGGACAGGCTTCTCCCAGCTTGGAATATCCTCGAGAAAATGGCGTAGCCATTCAGCCTCTTCAGTGCACTTATCCAAGGCTATTAGCTCAGATTCCATCGTGGATCTAGCTATTAACGTTTGTTTCGAGGATTTCCACGACACGGCTGCACCTCCCAAAGTGAAAACATATCCACTTGTGGACTTTGAGTCCTTAATGTCAGATATCCAACTAGCGTCGCTATACCCTTCAAGTACAGCTGGATATCTTCCGTAGTGCAGTCCAAGGTTTTGGGTTTTTCGTAAATACCTCAAAACTCTTACTATTGCCTTCCAGTGTTCATCACCGGGGTTGCTAGTATATCTACTAAGCTTACTAACCACAAAGGCAATATCAGGCCTGGTACAACTCATTAGATACATTAAACTGCCAATAATCCTAGCGTATTCTACTTGAGAAATACACTCTCCACGATTTTTGGTCAGGTGTACGTTTTTATCTAATGGCGTCCTTGCCTCTTGATAATCATCCTTATTAAATTTAGTAAGGATTTTATCCACGTAATGAGATTGGCTTAGCGTAAGACCGTCAGGTCCTCTAATTATTTTAATCCCAAGGATTAAATCGGCCAGCCCCATATCCTTCATGTCAAATTTAGAATTTAACATGTTTTTGGTAGAATTAATCATTAGATTATTGCTACCCACGATGAGTATATCATCCACGTATAAACATAAAATGACATAGCCGTCTACCGTGCTTTTCACATAGACGCATTTGTCACTTTCGTTTATTTTAAACCCATTAATTAACATTGCATGATCGAACTTTTCGTGCCACTGTTTAGGGGCTTGTTTCAATCCGTACAATGATTTAATTAATTTACAAACTTTCCTTTCTTGGCCAGGAACACGAAAACCCTCGGGTTGTTCCATATAGATTTCTTCGTCTATATCGCCGTTTAGAAAAGCGGTTTTTACGTCCATTTGATGAACTTCCA